GAGTAAGCATCTCTATTTCCTATGGAATATGTTTTGCAGAAGTTCAAGGCAAATCCACGTAAAAAGAGACTGGATTCTTTTTTATTTGCAAATATTTCTAAGGTGGAAATGAACCCAAAAAAGCCCAGAAGGTGCTTATATATCGCTCCTTCTTGAGCAGCCTGTAAAGCTGCTTAGCTGTGCTGACTAAGTTAGCGGTCCATTACCTCAAGCTGCGTAATTTTCTCTCATGTAGCAGGAGCATGCTTTGTTTTGGTGCCAAGGATTTCACAACTGGTTGCTTTGCCTCCTCAAGGAAGCTGATTCACTCCTTTATATGCAGTAGCCTTCTCGCATTCTGTAACAGCAATGTATCTTCCTTTCTGGTCTATAAATACATTTGCATACACATGTGGGATTAATGTCATGGAGAGTGTGAACTCTGTTTTCTCCTGGTGAAACTAAACCAGACAAAGAAGTGCACTGAGTATGGGCCAGCCTGTTTTTGAATATTCATTCAGCCTGTGGGACCAGGCTAGGCTGTGTTAGGAACAAGAATCTGGCAGCTTTAAGCACCTGTCAGTGTGGGGCTTATAGGCTGATCTTGGAGATCCAGTAGGGAATTCACTTGTGGCTTGCTTTCAGTTACTGTGTCCAAAACCAGTAAAAGTTGACCAAAATACCTCTCTTTTGGAGGCTGAGGTCAAACAGGGAGTTTTCCTCCTTAGATCAGCCTCCTCACTGCATACACGTGACAAAAATCAATTTGGTTGGTTAAAACCTGATTTTTGTTTTGTTTTTTATTTTCCACTTGTGTTTACCTAGTGGGGCAGAAGGCTGTAGGCTCTGGATGGACAGCCTTTCTTGTGCACCAAAGTTTCCAGCTGGGAGATGCTTGGTTTCTTGCTTGCCAGAGGCAGACCCAGAAGGGCGGAGTATGAGAGTAAGAAGATGCATGCAAACAGCATCAGGAACAGTAGGATCCAACCAAAGGCTGTGCCGTGTGACAGGCAAGATATTTTGGGTTTTATCAGTTCTCAGCAACAACTGAGGTAAAAGCTGAGGAAAGATCGAAGCAGATTTCATGATTTCCATGGCTTTTTGCATTTTATTTTTCACTTTTCAGCATCTTCTGCCAGAGTGCTGCCCTCTTCTCTGCATCCCATCTCTGCCCTGGCTGCTGCCAGGCCATGGATGAGAATGTTGCAGTTTTCCTGCTTCAGGCTTGTAGGCTCCACTCCACCAAACTACACCCCCAAACCTGGAGCAACATTGGAACATTGGTTTATTTTAGCTGCAAGATAACCCTTGCAGTTTCGTTTCTCTCAGCTGGTGAGATTAGGTTCTGAAGCAGAAGTTGGCCTCAAGTTTCTCCCTTTCAGCTGAGGGCAGTTATGAGTAGCCGTGATGTCTCCTGATGCCTTAAGTGTTGATCCCAGGGTGCTGAGCCCTATGGCAGTGGGAGTGTGGAGAGGGGATTTTTCTGACCCCGGGGGGGGGGGGGGTGCTGCTCATCTCTTCAAAAGGCATTTGTGTGGCAGAAGAGTGGTTCCTTCTCAGTGAAGACTTGGATTTCCCCTCCTTGCCATCTGCACTTGTACTAGCTGCTAAAGAATGGTTGCTCCGTGTGCTTTGTGTACTCGTAAAGTGGAGTGCAGAAATGTAACATTGCTTGGTTGGGCTTAAATGTCAGGATCCTGCAAGCACAAGGTTGGTAAATAATGCTTTGAACAGGCAGAAGACAGCAGAGGCAAATGTCAGCCATGCTGTGGCAATCAGATAGTCTGGGAAGAGATGACATTTGTAGTGAAACAAGTCATTTGTAGAAACGTGAAGCGGAGGTGTGCCATTAGGCATTGGGGAGACTTTTTGTTGTGGTTGAAGAAGTCTCCATTGAGCTAAAAGGTGGCACTGCCACTTGAGAGCACATTCTTGAGATGTGCTCTTAATACTCCTCCTCAAATATCCCTAGTTAACAATCAGAAAATAGGTTAAAACCATGTTCAGTTACACGAGAAATAACACATGAGTTGTTCTGCAAGCCAAATGGTATGGAGGAGGCTTAATTACTGACTCAACTCAAATGGAAACTAATATTTTGGGGGAGAAAAATTCACTTCAAACCTCTAGTTGCTTTTATTGAGATGTCAGACTCTGAGGAGAGGGGAGTCCTTGCCACAGCATTCCTTAGCTGTTTGCCTAAATAAGTGACAGGAGTGGGATGCAATTCAATGATTGCATTCTTCTTGGAGAATGAAGATGCACCTTCAGGAGGCTGCTCTCTCAGGTCAGGAAGGGGATGTCCTGCAGCACTCTGAGTATCAGTAGCTTTGTTGTATTTCTGACCTCGGCAGCTTTTTCAGTGCCTCCAACCTGGCTGGATCTGCGGCACCATGGGACAGGTGACCAGTGTCACTGTAGAATCATAGAATCATTAAGGTTGGATAAGATCTCTATAACCATCTAGTTCAATCATCCACCTACCACCAATACTGCTTACTAAACCATGTCCCTCAGTGCCACATCTAAATGTTTTCTGAACACCTCCAAGGACAGTGACTCCACCAGCCCATTCCAGTGCATGACTGCTCTTCTGGAGACGTTTTTCCTAATATCCAACCTGAACCTTCCCTGGCACAACTCAAAGCCATTCCCTCTTGCCCTGTTGTGTCTTGTCACTCTGGTTTTACCTTCTCTGGTGCACTCAGTGTGAGCACTCTCAAGTTCTGGAGCATCATCGCTGATGTTGCAGCATCTTCGCTGCTTGCCCTGGAATAAAAGGAAGGCCAGACCATCTCTGTTACATGAACCTCCCATGCAAATTGCCAACGCTTTGCTGCAGCACCTGCAATGTCTGGCCTGGTTCCTCTGCATGCAAATGTGCAGGGAGTGCACACTACGTCCTCAGCCCTGCCACTGTTGCCAGGGCTTCATGACTTCATTCCTGCCACACCCATTTTGTGCTATGCCATGCTTTTCCAGGATGCCTTGGTGGTACAACACTGTGATTAATAGAGGGTTAACTCATATCTGAAACAATGCAGATGAGAGCTCTTGGTGAAGTGTAGGGGCGCTGGGTTTTCCTAGCGACAAGTGTGAACTAGCACCATAGTCTGGGGATTTTCTCCCACGCTTTCTTGGTACTATTTGCGTCTGTTGGGTGGACGGGCAGTCCCAGAGACTGCCTCTGCCCTCAGCCTGGGTGTCATTCTCTAATGCCCTACACAAAGAACGCTGTGCTTTCCCTCTAGTGAAAAGTACCCAAAAGCATGGTCTTTGCTTCACAGGTCCTATGACTGAGGATGGATTGGAGCCACGAACATCAATGCTGCAGCTGGCTCTGTTGACAAGTAGGGCCTCACAACTTGGATTATAAAGGAGAAATTGTGGGAAGGCTGGTCATGGTCAGCTCGATGCCCAGCTGTTCCAATTCCTTAGGATTCTCTTTAATTTCTCTTACCCTGGTTTACAGTTGAGCTTTTATTCTTGTTCTAAGGCATTCTACCTCTTCCTCAAACTTTCTCTTTTAAACCTCCCTCTTATCTGTCTGTGCCCCTTTTCTTTGGTCCTCAAGCGAAGGAAATACTTAATCCATTTTTAAGTACATTTTTCACTGTTTTTTTCATGTAAGGTAGGACTTTAGGATCAGATGAGATTGCTCGTTCCTTTCCCCTGAACTGCACCATTGTGGCAGTGTTGTTTTGGATGGGTTTGAGCTAGTGATTTTCCAACCCTAGGCTCTGACCCACATTAGAATGAAAGCAGATTTTTGGCTGGAATAGGCACCAGCTGAAGAAAGCGTATTTAGGAAGGGCAAGGTGTGCGGTAGCTCCCAGTGGAGTGAGTGGGTGGGCTTTTGTTTGCTTTCCTTTTTGGGATCATATATTTAATTATGTGGAGTTTACTCTAGCTCTTCAACAGTTTTGGAGTAAGGTACTTGTGTTGCTCCTTTGGAGCACCTTCCTTGGTCCGTAGCTCACAGCATGACAGCCAGATGCATTCAGGGGATGGGGGGGAAAGAGATGTGAAAACCCACTAATGATAGCAATGATAATCAGCTTTGTCGTCTGTGAGTTCCATCATTTTTTCTAATCGTGATAAGTGGGAATTTAACAACATAATAGGTTAGCAGAGCTTATGGAGTTATTTGCAGAAGCCCAAGATGAGACAGGAGGCCTGGAAGAAAAGAAAGTCATGGTGCAAATGTATTTAAATAAAACATGACAAGGAGAGGAGATGTAAGGAAAGCCAGAGCAACTCGACCTACAAGTAACTTCATAAGTGAACAAATGAATCCAGGCTAGCATTTTAAGGCCACCAGAAGCACAAGGTGACAGAAGATATCCGAGTTGGCTAGGATGGGAAGAGGTGGTCAAAGGCATCCTAGGCTGGAGGTTAGGTACAGCTGGAAATTGCTGGGGTGCTTTTTCTGTGATAACTGAGACCTCAATACTATGATCAGGTTCTGGTGGCGTCCAAGGGGGTTTTTATGTGGTACTCAACTGGGTAATACTGAAACAGGTGTTCATGCAATTCTGTCAGGTTTCAGCAGGAGGTATCTGTGTATCCATCTTTGCTGTGGTTTGTGGTACAACACCTTCAGTGAGTGTTCACTGCAACTGGGGGGACTTTTTTTACTCTTTAAAATGATTTGATGTCTGGTGCAAAGAGTGCTTGCAAATTGTGGGTGGAGGAAAAGTGCACTGAAAGTTTGCTTTCATTCTAAACAAACGTAGTGGGTTTCAGTGCAGCCAAGTCCCTGGTTTACGTACTCGGAAGTGCTGTGACAGGCTTTCATCTCTCATTGATTGTACCCTTTTTAAAAAGGGTAGCAAGGACACTCTGGGCTATTACTGACCTGTCAGCCTCACATCTGTGCTGAGGAGCATCATGGAACAGATCTTCCCAGAAGCTGTGCTAAGGCACATGGAAGAGAAGGAGGTGACACAGGATAACCAGCATGGCTTCATCAAGGGCAAGTCCTACCTGCTCAACACAGTGGCATTTTGGGATGGCCTAACTGCATCAGTGGGCAAGGGAAGAGCCACTGATATCATCTATATGGTCTTCAATGAGACCTTTGTTACAGTCTTCCCCGTGACATCCTTCTCTCCAAACAGAAAAGATACGCATTTGATAGGCAGACTGTTCAGTGGATGTGAAGCTGATTGCAAGGCTGTGCTCAGGGAGTGGTGGTCAGTGGTTCAATGTCCAAATGGAGATCAGTGCTGAGTGGTGTCCCTCAGGGGTCAGTGCTGGGGCTGATGTTCTTTAATTGGTCATCAGTGGCATTATCAGCAGGATTAAGTGCACTCCCAGTAAGTTTGCAGATTATACCAAGCTGTGTGGTGATGCTGACACAGGTGAGGAATGGGATGCCGTCCAAAGAGTTGGACTAGATCACTTTCAAGGGTCCTTTCCTACTCAAATGCTTCTATGGTTATTGCTGCCAAGAAGTGTGAGCTCCCTTCTCCTTGCCACACATGGCTCACCTGCCTCAATTCTTCTTTCACATCATATGTTTTTCAGTGTTTTCAAGGAAATCTTTGACCTTCATGAACACGACTGAGGTCTTCTGTATCTTGATGTCCCTGAACTGCACAACCTTACGCTGCTTGGGTTGGCAGAAACGCAGCAAAACAACAGGTCACTTCTCTGCTGTATTTGTATCCCCTGGGAGATGTTTGCACTGCATCAGCGTAGGCTTCCAGTTCAAGTGACATAGGAAAGGTTTCTTGAGGGTCCAGTGGGTAGCAAAGCTGAGGAAGAAAGGAAATGAACCACAAATGACTTAAACTAAAGCTCCTCCTGAAAAGGTACAGCTGCTGCAGAAAATGGAAGCTGTTATGATATTTTTAACATGTTGATGATGAAATGGTTAAGTCCACTGTTCAAAATACTGGGACCACTTTTCTGAATTACTGGCATCTGGGAAGTGGTTAGCTTACATACATGTATAGTCTTAGGCTACATCCTCACCCTCCTTCTCCCTTCTCAGAATTACCACTCTACGTGCACAGATACCAGTGACCAGCAGTGACTGCAAGCCTTTCCTTCCTGAGAAAGCACCGCAACATTTATCAATGTATGCATTAGTCATCAAAACCACCACTACTACTATACAGGCCATTAAAAAACCCTGGGATTACAGCATCTCTGTCAAGTTCTCCTTTCTAGGTGCATCCTATCTATTTCACTTTTCCTACCCAAAGTAGAAACTTGTCACAGCTTTGGGGCCAGGTAGGCAAATGTGCGTGTTCTGATGTGATGCAGCAGGGACTCACCCAACTGCCTGACATTCTGGGGAAAACCCAGGCACATCAACTCCTGTGACTGAGCAAAATCTGGGCTTTGCTATGAAAATCTGTGTTTGAACATGAATCATGGGAATGAGTCTGAGATGGAACTTCAGTCATTTAATGAAAGTGGAAGCTGTTCCTGGACTCTCTGGGATTCCAATGCGAAGGGAAATAAAGTTCTCATTCACTCGTTTTTGACACTGGTCTCTTGAAAAAACGTCTTAGCAAGATTTTTGCACCTGTGTCAGAGGAAAATAAGATTTCAAGGGAAAGAAGAGGGGCTTCTGTATTTGAGTGGAAGACTCAAATTTTACTATATAAAACACAGATGTGATTTGAAAGCTCTCAACTACAATGTTATCACATACCCACATTGTCTTTCTACTGCCTTCTGCCTTCCTCCTCTCTTTGTTCCTGGCCACATATTCCTTTCCCCTATTGCTCCCTGGCTGGTGACTTTGCCTCATTTGGAGCAGCCCCAGCCCTAGCATAACCTGAGAGTGCAGGGCACTGCTGTGGGCACCACTTTGCAGCGCCAGCTGAAAGCGATCCTCCTGTGTCAGAGCAGGAGCTGCTGGTATTGTGGGATCCTATGGTGCCTAAATGCTGCCATGGGGCTAAATAGGAGGAGCCCTGGATCTTGGCTCATCCAAGTGGAGATTTGATCCTTGTGCCATAGAACGATCTGAATGTAACGTACAGGGTGTGTGTGCATGCAAGGGAAGCAGTTGTGCCAAGTTTCCCCCCACCAATGTCAGACATCCATCAGTGTTTCACTCCCACTCTGCTGATAAGTAGCAAACTGCCACAAAATGTACGCATCAGCATTTAGCCACGAATTTGCAAATGCATAGGGATGGTTTCCCTTCTGCTGCTACTACTGTACCAGTAACTTTTTGCATTTCCTGGATGTTTTTTTAGCACAGGGAAGTGCTTGATTTGAAGGTTATAAGTGGAAATATATTGCAGAGTTCATTATTATTTTCCACTGTACAGTGCTTTTTTTGCTGATGTAAGAGAGAGCAAAAAATAGTGTGGGGAATTATAGCCCCAAATATGTAAATATCTGACTGCAATAAAAAACCCCTTGCATGGGGTTTGCGCTCAGATGTATTTTGGGTTCTCTTCGTGGTTGAAGAGTAAACAATGAGGGGAATGAATGTTGATGGCATTTATGCAGACCCAGCTAATGAGAAAGGACTGGGAGAGGTAGAGATAATGTGAGAAATTCAAATCCACCCTTCATCCCAATAGCTTACTTTTATCAATAATGCTGCATGTTGGGCTTCTGATCCGGCTGCGGTGAGTGGCCGAGAAATGATGTCACCTCTTTACGGTCCATTTGTCATGTGTGACTGCTGCAGTCTGCCTCTTGCTGCTTGTGTCAGAGCGTGACACTGCCAAATAAATAGAGGTGTCTTCCCTCCGGGCTCCCCACATCGTCCCTGAGGCTGCAGCCACTGTGAGGATGCGAGCACTGGCGTGGGGTTGGACAGGAGCTGCTGCACTCCCATGGATGGTGCTGCTGCTGGTGTTGGTGGTGATGTCAGTGTCCCAAGCAGGTGAGCTCCTGGTGCCTTCGTATAGATAGCCTTGGTAGGGGTGGGTGTTCAGCCTTCATCTTGTATCAGGATGGCCTGGAAGAGGCAGAGATCCCTCCTGACTGCCTAACACAGGGTTTCTCCTATAGCAGAGAGAGTAGCCCTCCATTACTCTTGTGCTAGGAGATGATTTAGCTGTTGAGAGCAGGGTGCAAGGGTATGGTCACAGATAACTCCTTATGCTGGCCCTGAAAGCATTGTCAGTGAAAGCATGGAAAGGGACAACTTCTTAAGCTCGCTGAATTTTAGGGTCACTGAGCCTCTAAATAATGCTGTTTGCTTCTGTAAGTTGCCACTTTCTCTCTTTCTCAGCCATCCTGGAAGTAAACGGAAACCTGAGCTGTAGGTGTGTAAAGACAACTTCAGACTACATCAGCCCTAAGAGATATGACAGCATTGAATTAAGGCCCGTGGGAAGCACTTGCAGGCGCACAGAAATCATGTAAGTGCTGTGTTTGCTTGGCCATAGCTACAAGGCAGAGATGCTCTTCTCTCCAGCAGCAGGGCCGGCACTGAGCGCTTTCTTCTGCAACCACCGTGCTTCTCTGCTTCCCTTCTGAAAGCTAAAGTCTTCAAAAAAATGCTGGCCATCTCAGCAGCACGAGTGCAAAACTACAGAAAAAACCTCTTTGAATGGCAGCGGTCTGTGCCCAGTGCAGGAGTGCAATGCTTCCTGCTTCTTCCCCTTTTCCGGCTGTCCTGTGGCTCCCCTCTCTTGTAAGCAGTGTTCTGCTGCTCGCTGCTTGCAGTGCTGTGAGTGGAAGCTGGTTTCTGCAGATCAACTCTGTCTGTTAAAATCCCTCCCTCTGGAGGGAGCGTGATGCTCATAACCATCCCTTGCATTTCAGCATTAAATTGAAATCCTCAGCGAAAGTGTGTGTGAACCCTGATGCCCCTTGGGTAAAGAAACTGCTGAAGCGCGTTGCCGGCATGTAAGTTTCTTTGATGAAAACCCTTGGTCTGGGGTAAGCAATGTTCCCTCAGGCAGCATCCAGTTGTGCCTGCAGTCCCAGGGCCCACTTTAGGAAATCAGGACTCGTGGGGTTAGCTGTGTCTTTCTGCAGGGTGCTCCAGCTCCCAGCACAGCAGAAAGGTTGCCAGGCTGTTCCTGTGGCTGACATCAGCCCTGGGGGAATGGTGGTGACACTTCCTTTGGTTCTGACAAGAGCTGCTTCCCCCAGAGCCCTGCGCTATTCATGAGTTTCTCCTCCTTCTGCTTTTTGCAGGAAGAAAAGATAAGCTTCCTGCTAAGGAAGTTGGTGTTCGGAAGGCATGGTGTGTTCTGTCTTGAGACCTCAAGTCAAATAAAATTTGGGTTTTTCTTCCCTTGTGTTTTCCCTTGAACTGAATTTTAAGGGACTGCGTTGAGCATTGATCAACCCCACTCGTGTTGCTTTCCTGGTGAAGAAATCACTGCCGCCTGTGCCTGGTGCTCTGTGATTGATATCCTTTCACAGAGGGGCTTTGTGCACACAGTGTTGTTGCTGTAGGTCAGGTGTGTTAGGGTACGGGGGCACAAGCTTTCTCACAGATTCAGCACATGCAGCCACATCCAAGTGCAGGTGTTCACAGTGGGTATGGGGTTTGCAGGCAGCTGTAAGTTTTTATAAGCAGCAAAAGGCAAATAGAGACATCCTGGGGCTGGTGTGAGGCTGTTTACCACAGAATTGGGATAATAGGGCATGGGGGAAGAAGCAAGGACAAGTGTGCCAAAGCTCAAGGTGTTGTTTTCAGGGGGCGAGCTGCTTGTAGGATGCATATGTCATATACCTTCTGCCATTCAGTGTTGCTTGATTAACTTTTATTCCACTAATTATTAGTATCTCTGAAGTAAACAGTGTGCATCTTTTATGGATTGGATGGTGTGTCCTGTATATATGAATGGAGTGGGGCATCTTTATGAGATGGGATGGCTGCTACAGATGACATGCAAATAGTGGCTGTAGAGAAACAGTTAACATCTGAACCACACAAGAAGAAAGAACACTCCAAAAACTCCAGGTTTGCATGGCCGCATGAGCTAGGAACTAGCAGTGGGGGAAATGACAGCTATTGTTACCAGACCCAGCTTCTTTGGAAGAAGAAAACTGAGCCAGTTTCAGGAAGACCATGCCTCTGTGTGGCAGAGTATTATCAGCAATACAAACCCAGCCAGCATTGTCAGCAGGAAAGGGTAATGGATGAAAACCACCCCCAAACCCGGGGCCTCCCGTGCGCCACCACACTTCTCCTATTCCCTGGCTCAAATAGGGGATGCTGCTGGGCTGGGGCCAGGTTCTGTCAGTATGGCAGTGCGGGCAACCCTGCTGCTGGGGCTGCTGCTGGTGGTCCTGTGCCCTGGGGATGCAGGTGAGGCAAGGGGAGGCAATGCACAGGGCTGGGCACCATTTTTGGAGGCAGCATCCTGTTGCTGTCAGGGGCTGAAGTGTTTCTTAAGGGTCTTCAGAGGCTTTGAAGGGATGTGGGGAGGGGGGGGTGCAGTGCCTGGAAATGTTTTTGGAGGCAGCTGGGAAGGTGGGTTTTCAGGCAGTGCATGAGCTATGGCCGTGTCCCCCCAGCCCTCCTGGAAGCCAACGGCAACCTGAACTGCCGCTGTGCCAAGACCACCACTGCCTTCATTCCCTTGCGCAAGTATGAGAGCGTCGAGGTGCGGCCAGTGGGGAGCAGCTGCCGGCGCCTGGAGGTGCTGTAAGTGGCTCCCATGGCAGTGAGGGGGCTGGTCCCCCTCTGTCAACTACTTGGTTCTGTGATTCTCTTCCTTATGGGTTGGAGACAAGGAAGGGGCTCAGTCCCTTGAGCCTCCCTTCTGGAGGGAAAGGGGCTGAAGCCCTGCATGTTTTCCAGGATTAAACTAAAAACCCTGGAGAGGATCTGTGTGGATCCTAACACCCTCTGGGTGAGGAAGCTCCTGCAGGACCTCCCAAAGCTGTAAGCATCCTGGCCCTGACCTGAGGGGCAAGCAAAGCAAGACCTGGGGTTCCTGAGCCATCCCTTGATCCTGCTCTTTGCACATTTTGCCCTTCTGCTCCTGACAGGAGGAAGAAAGCTGCTCCCCAGTGAGGCCTGGCACGATGGCCCCATGGCTGGATACTTTGCCCCCCACCACTGCTTCTCCCCCAGCCCAGAGGGCATTTTCCCCTGTTATGCACCCGTGGAAAGGCAGAGGCTTTTCCCCAGCTCCGCAGTGATTCATCCCGCAGCCCCCCACTGTCAGCAGCGAGTGAGATGTCTCCTCTGAGCACAAGAAACTGAGGTCTAATAAAGGCAGCAGCCCTCTCTTATTTACCATCACTGTTGTCCCTGCAGCATGCAGTGGGGCCAGGTCTCCTGCTCATCACTCACCTTTCCTGCCACCACGTGAGCTGTGCTTGTAGGATGGGGCTCTGCTGGTTTCTGCATTGGGCAGGAGGTGCTTCAGGCCACGTGCTGGAGGGGAAGCGATGGCAAGGAAGTAAAATTGGTGGGCACAGGGCAGATGCTTTTCCCCAGTGTTTCCCAGCCTATGAAATCCCCACTGGGTTGGCTATAAAGCAGCCCAACAGTGGCTTGGGGGCAGTGAGGATGCGGGCGCTGCAGGCAGCACTGGCCCTGGGCCTGCTGCTGAGCAGCCTGCTGCCAGGGGATGGTGAGTGAGGGACCTGGGGACCCGCTGTGAATGCTGGGTGGGGGCAGTGGGCCCATGGGCTTCTCTGAGCTTTTGGCTTTCTGCTTCTGGCTCTCTCTGAACTCAAGATTCATCTTTTCTTTCAAGCTGAAGGGGTGGCATTTGCCTGAGGTCTTCAGGCTGCGTCTCTTCTCAGACCCTGTGAAGCTTGAGAGCTTGACAAGTGGGCAGCACATGGTTTAGTTCTGAGAATGTTGGTTACGTCTTCCAAACCCCTGCTGTAGGCATGATATGAAATGCTTGGAGCTGCTTCGGGAGGGATTGTCCCTGCACATGCTAACGTGTGCTGCTGTGTGCCCTGCTAATGCCTGCATGCGTCCCATGGGGGCCATGGAGTCCCATGGGGAGGTTGGGGGCTGAGCGCTGGCTGTGGGCTGCTGTGGTGCAGGTCTGTCACTGGAGAGCCTGCTGACCAACAAGAGGTGCAAGTGTGTCAAAGTGACTGCCCAGGTCATCGGCCTGGGGCTCATCCTCGCCATTGATGTGACGCCACCGAGTATTCACTGCCGGAGGAAGGAGATCATGTAAGTGAAAATCTGGAGCCTGGCAAAAATGCCTGGGTGCCTGCATCCTTTGCAAAGCTGTGTGGTGCCTCTTGCAAGGCCTGCCCTCTCTCAGGGTGTGCTTCCACCTGTTGTAAGGGGGGTTACCTCACAGAGCGGAGGCTGAAGACCCCCGGTCTTATCTCTCTCACAGCAAGGTGTCAGGGTGTGCTTCCCTGTATGCATACTGGAGCACAGAAGGTGTTGGGTCAGGAGAGCTCTGGGGAGGGGCTGAGTGGGTCTGGTCTCCTTGCAGCCTCACCCTGAAGAGGAACAAGAAGGTGTGTGTGGCCCCTGAGGCACCCTGGATCCAGCTGCTCATCCACAAGCTGACGCAGAGAGATGTCACCAAAAAAGAAGTGGCGGCAGTTGCTCGGTCACGGGGAGAAGCGGGGAGACAGCCAACGGCCCCGTAGCAGGACCTGCATCCCTTCCCCAGCAGCGCCCGTCCCTCCCTCTGTCCAGCCCTGGTTTTGGCTGGGGGCAGGAGCCTTTGTCCTCCAACCTCCCCAAAACCAGGTGGTCTTGTCAGACCCTGGTCTTGCCCTACATTTTGGTGATTCTGCTGTCCCCACGCATGGTGCCCACCCAGGGTTCAATTAAACTCTGAGTGCTCTGCCCTTGATTCTCTCCATGAAGATTTGTGTGAATACTGTGTTTCCATTGCATGCAGCCCCAGGATGGGTTAGATGGGAACTGTGGCACTGTGAAGCCCACAGGCAGGGCTGCAGGGTGTTTCCTATGCGTGCTGCCCTTCCTCTGCCCCAAGGACCTGGAGGTTTTGTGCTTCTTTGTGCGTTTTCCTGCGCCGAAGGAAGGATCCTGAGTGGTGTGTGCTGTAAGATGTGGTCTGACCTCTGAAAAGCTCAATGCTGGTGGCAGCAGTGCTGCCTCTCTGCTGTGTGAGCGTGGGGAAATAGGAGGGAGTGGGAGATTTCCCAAAAACTGGGGGAGGTGGTCTCTGAACATCCCTGGTCAGGAGTAGCCCTGGACGGTACCTTTGTACCTTCCCTCCTGTGTCCCAGGAACACGAACAAGAGATTGATGGAAATGGCACATTCTCCATAACTGAGTCTTTTCAGTGTGTAGAAAGAATCATTTTCTGCAAGTGGAGCTGGCATTCTCTTTTAATAGTGCATCAATTACTGCAAGTGGGAAATGGGCAGAAAGAATTCCTTACTACTTATTCCTGTGGGAAATGCGGAATAAGCGTGTTGCTATGTTTCTGTTCAAGAGTGCTGCTCTTGCAACTGAGGACCTGAGGGCTGGTGTCAGGCATGGGAATGCCTGGAAGATTCGCAGTATGTCAGTATGGGGCTGGTGGTTCCCAAGGCTGGCGGCTCCCAGGGCTGGCACACAGTGTGAGGGCATGGGAGAACAGAGGGCAACTCCTGGCCTCCAGCCCAGCTCCAGGTGGCCAAGTGGCAAGAGGAGCCTCTGCTCACAGAAACCTCCCCATTCCATTTGCACAAAGCGCAATGGAAATCCCCTTAAAACTTCGGTGTAAGCATGTCCCAGCGACACCACTGCTTCCCAATTCTCCGTGTGCAGTTCCACCTTCTGGGGGGAGGACACGGCTGTTGCAGAAATGAAGCACAAGAAAGAGGTCCGGCTGAAAAGCACCCAGCCTCCCCAAAGGAGAACTGCAGGAAGGGGGAGGGGGGGCGGCCACACCTGTGGGTTTACGAATTAAGGGCATCTTTAGCTAACGTGGTGCACACAAACACTTTAATTGCTTTGAAAGAAAACACATGATGCAGTAATTAAAAATTGAAAACAAAGCCAAAGTCATGTAATATGCCACTTGTAAAGAGAGCCACCATGATTTCTTTTTTGCTTTGGAACAAAGACAAATACAGACAGACGCAAATTTGGTAAATGCCTAAGTTTTAGAAACTGTTCAACAAAGAGAACAAGACCAAGTACCAGAATCATTCAAACCCTCACCCTCATCAGTGAGAGGTTTTCTAAGCTAAATGCCTTGTATTATTGCAGGACTGGGGGAAGGAAGGAGTCATGTCACTTGGCATGCTTTGCCATCAATGATGTTTGAAAAACCCTGTACCAAAGTGCACGAGCATTTCTCTAGCTTCCTGTTTATTTTCAGACATATGTCAAGGAACTACTCCTGAAGTCCCTCACCCTCCAATATAGCCAAACCTGCAAACTTTGTCACATCTGAATACCCATCGTAGAGTCAAATGACTTTTCTCGAGTCCTTAAAAGGTGCTAGTTTTGTCACTTTCTTGATGGTGCCATTTTGTCACTTTTCTGAATGTGTCATACCTGTGCCTATCTCACCAGCTCTGCCTTTTGTCCCAGCTCCATTTCTCAGAACAGAAAACCTGTGCTCGGTATCCGTGCAAATGTTGACACAAGAGGAGATACTATGTCAGCTATGGCTGTGCCTGTATCTAAAGCTTTATAATCTCCTTTCAAATTGGTTTTTAACCTTAAAGTGCTTTCTGGGCTGACACTTGGCATAGAGATGTAGGAAATGAATGGTTTTCATCAGGTTTTCTTGGGTTTTATGCTGCTTTTGAACATTGAAGGGAGATAAAGGGAGGATGTGCTACAATACTTCTGTACTCATTTAAAAAAAAAGATGAGCTGCATAATCCAAGATGCCTTTCCTCATTACGAGATGAAGAGATTCGGCTAATAAGAACATGTCTCAGAAAAATCCAAACCCCTCTGCACATAGGGTACATTTATTTTCCAGTCTCTCATCTGTATAAAGCTCTTTGCAATCAAGCAGTTCGGATCCTTTTCAGGCATAGGAAATCTGACAGTCAAAATCTTCCCCATTCTGAAGCCAATGTGAGCTTCAGCAGATTCTCTTCCCTTTTCCATTCCCTTCCTTTCCCTTTCCCTTCCCCTGTCAATTAGCAGTGACATAGCACACAGCAGGCTCTGAAGACTACACCCTTCATATATCCACCTACATGCAACACCATCTGCTACACTGGCTTGAAGTGAGGAAAGGAATTCTGTGATTATTACCGAAAAAACCCTGGATCCATTGCAAAAGAACAACAAGCTGATGTAAAACAGTGAGACACTTCTCATTCTAACACTTTGCTATCATCTCGAGAGGCTGCAAGGAGCGCCTGCCAAAGAGGTGTGACAGGAAAAGCATCATTCCTTATGTTCAATTTTGGCCTTTGGTCTTTATTATCATTACAAGAAAAACGTCTGTTAAGAAATGCATAGCAGTCAAGAACAAGTAAATGGTAATTAAGCACAAAGCTGAGGTCACAGGGGATAACAACTGCTGTTCCCTCTCACACCCAGGTAAGGGTGCAGATCGCACTTTTGTGTTCTTTCTCTTGCAGGCTACTGACTTGGTGTGGATAGGATTAAAAAAATCTTTCACATCATCCCACTACATTAAATTTCATGCCAAGGGAAAGTTTTCATGTGAGAAACTTAAAAGACATTGGGAAAAATGAAGAGTGCATGACTGGGCTTAAATCTGGTCTTTGACATGAAGGACAGTCAGCCCTGCTCCTACCAGAAAGGCATCATTGCTGTGCTTGTGCTCTAGGAACATCTGAAGGGCTTTTAGCCACCTCATAGAGAACAAGTCATGTGAACTTTCCACATCTCCAATGCTTCCTTGCACTTCAAATCCAGCTAGGTAAGGAAAGCCAGCCCTCGAAAGCCACGCTGATACACCATAAGAAATGCAGCCCTGTACTCAGGATTTGGGAGCTGCAAGTGCTCGGCACCTTTGTAAACAAGGCCACAGGCTCTGGCTGCATAAGCACGGATTGGGCATGAGTTTAGGAGACCCCACAGCAAAGCTGCAAAGTGGGAGGCCCCAGTGGTCCACAGCACTGCCACAGCTCTAAAGACCATGGAATGGTTCTGAAAGGTCAATGGCAAAAACTTCTCAACAGGTTTGGCTCCAAAACTCTGGGCTCTATAGCTGGTAAAACACAGGACAGCAAGGGGTTGAGACCGACAAGAACTTTTCTGAAGGGTTCTGCAGACTAAAGAGAGTGGCTTCAAACACACATAGAAAGCTTATGGATAAAATGAAATATTTTCTGAATATAGGTGTGATAAACCGATGGAAAAAGCTTTTAACGAGGCCAATGGGAAGAAGAGCTGCTTTCAGAGCCCGTTGTGCCAAACCTGACTTCAGCGCACGGTATGCAAATGTTCACACCCCTTACATCAAAATAAGGAAACCAAAATATTCAGCTACAATGTACAAAATTCTCTTTTATATATATATATATATATATATATACACACAAAACCCCATATCTAACAGATTTACCATATTGAATTTTAAAAAGTTGCTTGTAGAATGGTGCTGGATTTTTTTTCTCTGCTTATTTTAGGCAGTGCTGCTGCTTAGAAGTTGATACCAGGCACGATATAATTGAAACCCTACCAAGAAAGCAAGGAGCAGGAAGGGGCTGAGGGCTTTTTCCTAAGCACAAGTGGTGAGGACACTGTGATGTGCCCAGCGCCTAAGCATGGGAAACAAGGGTTGGCAATGGAGAGAACCACTGTTTTCCCATTAACGTGTTTACAGTTAGGGATATTTTGCTCTCTATTACTTTCCTCCTTTTCCCCTATAACATACCCTATGAGGCACTGTCAGCCTCCATCTGGGTCAAAAGAAAATGAGTGTCACCATCTGGATGCTGCAGATGACTGTGAAACAGATCTCATCCCACGCACGTGGCTTGTGGCTGATGGCTCCATGCTTCTTGTCTCAGGGCAGAGCTCTATGAAGAGCAGCAGTTCTGCTCGGCTGGAAAAAAGCACAACCCCTTACTGCTCCTTTTGTAGGAAAGGGGGAGAAACCAGAGGAAAAGAGGGAGGGAGCCAGACATGTGTGAGGCAGGTAAACATGCCCTGGTTATGTGCATTGACTGAAACAAAAACAGAGTTCTAGAGAGATTTTTTAAAATCCAGAGGTTTTGTGCAACATCTGTTTAAACAGCATTTTAAAAATCACACAGCATAATGGACGTTCTGAAGTGCATTTTGAAGCAGAGAAAATCCAATTAAACACCTTCCTGCAACAGAACACTTCAGTAAGTTATAAACCCAAAGAAGGTACAACGTAGCAGTTTACAATGTTTACCAGGTGCTTTTGTTTCACCCCCGCCCTCTCCCACCCTGATATTACAAAAGATTGTTGCCATTTTTTCTTTTTATTAATAAATGGGCTCCTCTGCAGTTCATATACAATCATAGGTGAACTTTAAATTCCATTTTATACAAACATCTCAAAAAATATTGGGAGTGAAGTATGGTGGAACTATTGCTCACGTTGCTAGTTAACATGCGTGTAGGACAGGAGGAGAACGGTTGTTAGTGCACACCTCCAGAGCAGAGAACCCCTCCAGAAGAGATACAGTAGCTGATTACAGAAAGGTAATGTCCACAAAATTAAGTTTTTCATGCTATTCTACTTTCCAGTACTATACTTAATTGCTGTCTCAATTTACCTGCATGGCTAGGTGTTGAACGCTGAGGTATATTAAAAAGGAGATACCTGCACCTAGAGGAAAATTCTTCAGAAAGGGCTTTTTTGGTGCTGCACAAAGCAATTTACATCCATTAATTTCACCCAGCTACGGTGATTTCCAATTTGTATCAGACAATAGATGAC